GCTAACCTGGCTGCAGAATTCCACTAATTTGTTTCTCGGGAAAATTATGGTGACTTTAGGCCATGCAATAGCACTTTTTTTATTCTCAGAAGATAAACTTAGATGTTCTTTTGATCAAAGGGATGTGTTAATTCATTATTCTCTACATGGTGCTAATGAGAAAGCTGTAATTAACTAACTACACTATTGCGACACACATAAAATAAAATGCAGTAATTAGTAATGTTTAAGGTGTTAGCCAGCCTCCAAAATTAGAAAATACAGAAGCTTTCCCCAAATAAAGATGTTCAGAAAGGAGAAAGCACCCCACATAATTAACTAAAGAATTGTGTCTACCCACCCCGTGCTGGGTAGACACACACGTGATCATCAAAATGCGATATTTCACTTCCGAGCAGAGAATACAACTTGGTGCCAGGTCTACTTGTAGGCAGACACAAAATGCTAGTGAACGCGTAATCTTTTCTTTGAAAGAATGCTTAGCAAAATATATTTCCAGGAATGAATAAAAAGAATATTACGGTTTCACTCATTAGCTGTGCTAACTTAGCATATTGTATGTAAATCACCATAATAATTGCATTCTCTTCAGGCTGAATTAGTTAGAATGAAGCTGTAATCAAAATGTTCATAATTGAAACTACAGCATTCTCAGTCTTGGTCTGACAAAATAACAAGGAACACTGATTTAATCAGACACCATGGTGTGCTGTGACGCAGGCCTTGGTCAGGGAGGGGCGCATCCTCCTGACACCTCTGCATGTCAATTAGCTCCTGAGTTCAGGACTCACCCTTGCACAACCTCCTGTGTTCTCGTGTCACCCTTTGTCTCGGGCTTACTTGAGCCTCCCAGACACATGACTGCTTGAATTTTTGCAGAAAACACAGGAAGGATGAAAGCAAAATTTTTGCTTCTAAAATGCATTAGATTCTATCCCACCATTAGCTGCCATAACTCAAAACATAAAATAATCTCTGATAAATGAAACATTAAATGCCAAAAATCCTGGGAAACAATATGCAAATGACACGTTGTCAGAGATCCCTAGAGCTGTTTTTCAGAGGTGGCATTTGCACTGTGGATATGAGAGAGTTATCTTGCATAAGCCAAACCTGAAGCATCGTCCCTGCCACTGCTGGAAGCAGTACGTGCTGACAGCTGTCATCCCACTTGGGATGCCATAAGCTCTATTACTTAGTGGCTCTTTCTCAGCTACAAATGGTTGCTTCACCTCACGACAGGTTTGTGCAGTACCCAGGGCTTCAGCCATCCTGAGTAGACAATGGATCAGCCCTCTGGACTGCATGGGACAATATTTTCTCAGGTTACCTCTGAACACTTTAGGACAGACACAGAGAATGGCCACAAGAATCCTATGCCCATGGGTCAGCTCTGAAAAAACTGCAGGAAGGACATTAATCTGTGTTACCCACAAGATACTTCTCTGGATAGAGGAATATTTAGGGAAAACAAAAATATAAACCTTTGTGTAAAAGAAGCTGAAGGGGAAACAGGAAGTTTCTCTCTGGGGGATTGTGGAAACATGTAGAAGGAATAAACATGATGGATTTAACACTTTTTCAATGATCTGAAAGAGGTTGCTCCCCTTCCCTAAGGGAAGGAATTTGTACACCTTGACTCCAAAAATGAGGAGAAAAACTACACTCTGTGGAGGAGAGAGAGCGAAACTCCATACCTACACCATGACAGAGAGACCTTGCACACCTACACCAGCACAGAGAACCTCCAACCTACACCACCACAGAGACCTTGCACACCTACACCAGGACAGAAAGAACCTCCAACCTACACCAGCACAGAGTGAACCTCCAACCTATACCATGACAAAGAGAACCTCCAACCTACACCAGGACAGAGTGAACCTCCAACCTACACCAGGACAGAGTGAACCTCCAACCTACACCAGGACAGAAAGAACCTCCAACCTACACCAGGACAGAGAGAGAACCTCCAACCTACACCACCACAGAGACCTTGCACTCCTACACCAGGACAGAAAGAACCTCCAACCTACACCATGACAGAGAGAACCTCCAACCTACACCAGGACAGAGAGAACCTCCAACCTACACCATGACAGAGTGAACCTCCAACCTACACCAGGACAGAGAGAGAACCTCCAACCTACACCAGGACAGAGAGAACCTCCAACCTACACCAGGACAGAGAGAACCTCCAACCTACACCATGACAGAGAGAACCTCCAACCTACACCAGCACAGAGAGAACCTCCAACCTACACCAGCACAGAGTGAACCTCCAACCTACACCAGCACAGAGAGAACCTCCAACCTACACCAGGACAGAGAGAACCTCCAACCTACACCATGACAGAGAGAACCTCCAACCTACACCAGCACAGAGAGAACCTCCAACCTACACCATGACAGAGAGAACCTCCAACCTACACCAGCACAGAGAGAACCTCCAACCTACACCAGCACAGAGAGAACCTCCAACCTACACCAGCACAGAGAGAACCTCCAACCTACACCAGGACAGAGAGAACCTCCAACCTACACCAGGACAGAGAGAACCTCCCCACCTACAGTGGGGCCATTTAAAGACCTCTGAGGGAAGCTGTAGGTACTTCTGGCATAGGAAGCCCTTCTCTCAGCAGGAGGAAGGAGAGCCCATACCTACATGCAGAAGATCCTGACCTCTTGAATCTGGCTTAAGGCTGAAATGCTGCCTCTCTGACAGGTGTTCTCTTTAATATTTCTTTTCACTATACTTTGCCTCAATATTAAAAAAAAAAAAAAAAACTCCTTCAAGTCTCCACAGAGTAAATCAGGTTAAATTATTTCAACATAGCCATATTGTTTGAAATAAGCTCCTGTTTTCAAAGACTTCAGAAGTCATTAGAAAATTAAACTCTAACATAAAAGTCACTAAGAATCTTCAGGTTGATGCTACCCTCCTGGCTTTATATAATACAGTAAGCTGTGCCCTCATCTTAAAAAGAGAGTAGCCTTCTAAATCTTAGTGGAAACCTGCTCATCGCAAGGCAGGAAGTGCGCACATCACCAGGGAGGAGACATCTCCCGGGTTGGAGGGCTCCCACGCTGCATGCAGCCTTTCCTTAGGGAATCACCATGGCCTGCACAGGCAAACCCTGAAAGACCAGGAAGCGCCAGGGGCAGGCCCTCCCCGGCCTGCTACTAACAATCTGTCTCCATTTATTTTCCTATGACATTTGGGAACTGGCATGGAGGGAGACCCAGCGTGGCACACAAACGCACAACAGGTGGTGCTGAGGATCCACCAGAATCCAGAACCAAGTCCACTTGTCACCTCAAAGAGTGGGAAATCCCACACACAAAGCCATGGAGCTAGCTTTTCATTTTCTTGGTTCCAAGGTTCCCCAGGGCAACTGTTCCAGTTTCCCTCTGCCTGGATTCACGGCGAACCAGCTCCCTGCAATTGGCTACTTCCTCTCTGTGGGACTCAGGCGGGAATGACCACGTGAATTGAGATTATTCTCCAAAATCAGAGAACAGAAGATGCGCTGCCTGCGCTGAAGATGCCAAGAAACAACTCGCTGAATCTAAAGAAATGGAAGAGCCATCAGCCTTGGCAGTACTGCCAGATCTCCAATGACCAACTTTCCGGGTGTGTTGTGTGTCAGGGCTGAGCCCGCCAGCCTGGACTATCTCTGCCCAGTCGTGCAACAACCTGGCGAACAAGCTTTGATACCGTCACTATTTAGGAAGCTCAGCGATGGTGGAGCTGAAATCCCAACCCAAGTGGATGCCCTCAGACTCTGCACTGCAGGAGCCCGCGGTAGGCCTGAGGCCCAATTTAACCCATATGCGCACGGAAACCCCCACCTGGCGCGTCCCTGCGGGGGCCCTGAAGCTAGCGCTAACCAAGCCACAACTGCGCCAAGCACCCCGCGGTGCTGCTGCACCTGTCCGGGTAGATGCCGGCCGAGCCCCGCCCTCCTGTCCACCCGCCCACTCTGCGTCCTCCCTGTTCTCTGCCGTGCTGGGCACCGGGGTACCTGGGCTGCGCACCTGGGCCCACAAGGCGGCGGCTTCGGTGGCTCCAGGCAGGATCCTCAGCCGGCCCGGGTGGTAGAAATGAGGCTCATGGAGCTCAGGGAGGACCGGGCGCTCCCAGCCTCCCGCTCCAATCCCTGAGCTCCAACCCAATCTGTTCCTCTCTACTCCTCCCCACGCATGAGAGAGAAATGGAGACAGAGACAGGGACAGAGAAAGAGAGATGTGGGGGCAGGAGGTAGGCGCCGCACAAAGAGGAAGGGTCGCCAGGGCTGGCACTGCTCCCCGCGCCCAGCAGCCGGGAACCATGGCAACCAGTCTAGCGCTCGCCCCTACAGGGGTCTGCAGAAGACAGTATGCGCCCTCCCCATTTTCTGGTTATGACCACCACAGCAGATGGACGCCCAAGGCAGGTCTTCAGCTTTCGAGGACCCCACACCGCACCGTGACCCAGGATCTTCTTAAAAATCCACCACGAACCCCAAGAGCTTAGAGATGGGCAGGGTTGGGTGCCGAGGCCAGGACTGACCCCAGGCTCCGGCAGACAGCTAACCTCCTAGAGACCTGCTGTACCACAAGGTGCAAGTCAGGATTCCCCCTCCTGAGAATGGAGAGGATACCCGGGGCCCCTCCTCCTTCCGCCAACCTTGCATGATCAAGCCCAGCTTGTTCCTGGCTGGTCTGGCAAAAGGATTTCCGATCCAGGAGCGTTCGCTGCGCCCCGCAGCCCTTCGCCCAGCTCTCCCGCTAGCAAACCAGCATGGTGTCACGCCCCGACCCGGGCCCGGCAGGACCACGCGCGCGCCCCTCCCGCACACCTGAGCGTCCTGGCGCCTCGCGATCCTGTCCCGGGGACGTGTACACAGAGCCGATCTGCAGTAGGGAATGGGTCGGGGCCGAAGCGGCTCCGGAGGCCCTAGGGGAGGACCCGGGGAGGTTCCCGAGGCACCAACGCCCAGCACCCCTCCCTGACCCACCTCGCGGAACGCGGCTAATCCTTGGTCTCAGGTGGAAGCCGAAACTTCGCTGCTTATTTTTCGGTATCTCGTGGTCCAGCGAGGTGGGATCTCTGCCCCCAAGAAAACGAGGAATCTTCCTGGGGCCCCTCCCTGAGGTTTCTCACGGTTCTTATTCCGCGCACGACTGCCAGCCAGGGTTTCACCAGAGCCGAGCCGCGAAGGGGTGTGGTGCTTGGCGGGCTGAATGCCAGCCTCTGCTTCCCGGCTCTTTCCGGGGAGGGGGGAGCTTGCTGCTGAATCTACAAAAGATGCCGCCTCCTAAGCTGTCAGGCCAGTACACGCAAATGTTGGAAAACCTTCCACTCACCCTTTCCAATGTTGCGCTAATATTCACAGTTGGTAATTTTGCCATGTGGTTACATAACGTTTTCTCCTACTTATTCTCTGTTGATTTATGACCGGTAGTCTCATATCCCCGCTTCCATGCAAAAAGCCTTTTCTGCTGCCTTTAAAGGACACAACAACAGGAAATAATTATTTAGCGTCTCAAATATGGCAAAGCCACTGGCTACTGCACAACAAGTGATCTGTAAATCACTTAAATTTTTCCCCACCGCAGTGAAGTTCTCCCTGAGGCGGAGAGGATGCTGCCCAGGGCCCCGAGGTTCTGGTGGGGGGTGCTGAGCATGCACACCTTGATGCCCCAGAGCTGGGGCATCACCCAGAGGTTCAAGAGGAGGAAACTCAGAAGCAGCTGAATGAAATACCTTGAGAGCAAATAAATGGACATTTAATAGCTCCTAACCTCGGGTTACCATTCCCTCCATTCGTGTGTGGGCACCATTCTTACCAGCTTACTTTGGCAAACTAAAAATGCAAGTGAGAGCAGGATTTGTATGAAGCTTAAATTGTGCTGCTGAGACGTCATTACTCATGTGGCGTGTTTTCTAACACAGAGACAAAGGGTACTGAATAAAATTCCAACAGGGAAAATTCTGTGCCTGTCGGAAAAACACTTCCAAGGTCAAAGGGCCACAGGAAACAAAGGCGATCCTGTCTGAGCAGCTAGCACCTTCGAGGGAGCTCTGAAGAAAAAAGACTGGAAACTCCATGATGGCCAGACCACAGAGTGCTCCTCAAACTGCAGCTGCGTGGTCCCTGTGGATGTAGTGATCAACTTCAAGTCTGCTGTGCTACATCCCCACCCAGGGAAAGCAGCTGCCAAAACAGTCACTGGGCAAGCGTCAGGACACCATGGAAAGCGAGCTAGCAAGGCTAGGCACTGCACTTTAAATCAAACATCCAGAACACAACATTGAGTGTCCAATATCAGAAAGGAAAATGGCAGACAGCCTTCTGAGCCTCTGATACTGCATATAAATGAGGAAATAACAAACACCCCCAGCTTCCAGAAACAGTAATTAAGGCAGCTTATAGACAATATGCTTTACCCCAGGCAATCCAATTTTAAGAAAGAAACCAGACAGGAAAATTCGGGTAAAGGAAAAGAAAGGAAGAAGGGAGGGAAGAGGAGAGTGTAGGGGAATGATGAACCAAAGAAGAACCACAGTTTTACAGGAGTGAAAAATGAAGGCAAATGCTTTTATCCACAATGATGGATTCGCATTACCAATAAATCCTCAGTTACAGTCAACAGATCAAGGTTTCTTGGTTGAAGCAGCTCACAGAGTCGGGGTCTGAGCTTGTTGGAACCCAAAGGCAAACTTCAAAGATGTGATGTTTACAGCTGAAAGATACCTGCCTTCAGACCCTCTCATGGCCCTGATCCTACTGTCTGACACTGTGTTCAGACCCATTTCCCACTTGACAAACAATCCCAGGCTACTGTGCATGGGAGCACACAGGTGCCTGGGAGAGGCTACACATTCTTCCGAGTTGTGAAAATTGGATGGCATTAGCCCTGAGAGGTGTGGATTTTCTCTCCCACAATTAAAAAGGCTGTGCAAAGGGAAAATCCAATCATCCAGGAATGGAGGGGTAGGGGCTTCTCCCCTAAAGAGAAGCAGAAGGTGAGAGAGATAGGCCAGTCATCTGGAAGAAAGATAAAAGCTATTAAAAACTGGAGGGTTTTATTTTTCCAGCTTTTGTTGCTGACTTACTGCCTGTCCCCAGCCTGAACCATCATTTGGGTCCATTCCCGGAGCAGGGCCAGTGGAAGAGCTGTGCCTTTTGGCAGTGCCAAGTCGCTAGTGATATGGCATCACTCCTAGAAAAACTAGTTAGCTAAGAGCAGGAGTTTTGGAAGGAAAATTTCAATCTAGCAGTTCCAAAGGTTTCCTGGATAAGCTTGTGACACAGGGACGATGATGCTCCCTCGAGAAAAGGCCCTTCAAAGACAACCTGGACGTACAAAGCAGTCACCGCTGGCTTGGATATTAGCAAAGCTAACGACCCTCTTAACTGCAGTCGATATCCCTGCACCTTGTCCTTTAATATGAGAACAAAGGGACATGTATTAAAAATCAGAGGGAATCATCCTAGAGCAATTGAAGAGGTGGACTAGCATAGGAAATCCAGCATTCAGATGCCGTGGAGGTGGAATACTCTGTGGATTCTCAAAGGGCCTGGTTACAGTGCTGCACTCACATAGCTGGGATGGTGGGATGTGGTCAGACCTCAAGCTTCAAGACATCCCTTGGAGGGTCACTTGTGCAAGTTGGAAAGCTGTTCCCCGCCACCACCCCATCACGGACAATCTTATTTTAAATACCTGTGCACTGGATTGTAGGATAACTTCCTATCTGTGGGGTAAATCCTAGAATTTTTGGAGGATGGAGATTTTGTCCCCACCTCTCTGTTTCCAACGTAACTCTTTCCATTCTGGAAAGGACCTCAAATGACACGTCCTTTCCCACTTTTCTTTTTGTACTTGAGGAAACTGAGATTACAAAATCTCTCCCAGTCTGTGCAACTGATTAGTGACCTGTACTGCATTACAGTGTTTTTGATTCTTAGGCTTGCCTCAACCTGGATATGACAATCCCTTGCCACTTCTGAAAAGATTTTATTTATTCCAATTTTGTTACAATAAATGAAGCAAACACTTTGAGGTAGTGGTGATTTCAGGGGACAGGACTGCCCTGCAGACTCAAACAGCCCCCCCAGAGAGACTGAGTTTACCCCCTCATTTGCTGCCTCCTGCTGAAGAGTCCACCGGATGCAAAGGAAACACATTAGAGGAAGAGGGGTGTTAGAGGCAGCTCTGAAAGTTGGTGGTGCTGCTGCTTCCTCCCTCAGCCCCTCACCCCAGACAACATTAACTTCTTTGCCCCAGGCCTATGGCCTCCTAAAAACTGTACCTCCCAGTCTCTCTTATGACCAGTCTTGGACCATGGCTAGGTTGTCACCAAGGAGACCTAAGGTGACTTGTAGTTTACACTCCAAAAGTAATCCCAGTTGGATTTTCCATTCCTTCTGGTTATCCTGAAGCCACCCATCACTGTGAAGGGTAACAGAAGAACTGCTAGAGAGCAACGGCTGTGATGTCAGAGCCTACACATGGCCACCCTTGGGCCCTTGTGTATTGTAACCTCTATCCTTCACCCTGACTTAGCATGTCTTTTGTAACATCTATCCCTCACCAATGCTGCTGTGCTGTCTGCAATAAGAGCAACAACGAGACAAGCAGGAACCCTTCCCTCCTTCTGCCTACCACCGGCTGCCTGCTGCTCAGCTGGCCAACCAGAGCCTGCGTAGTAGGTGGGGAGTACACTCCAGCCAGCCAGCCACTGTTCCCTCTTCCCACCCACCTCAATGCCCTACCTCCATGGACTGACCCAGAGGACTCACCTGGGATCTCCATCTGCTGACCCAAAGGACTCACCTAGGATCCCCACAGGAGGAGCCGCCCCCTCCCCTGGTCATTCACACTACAACCCCCAGGCACCACCCATGCCACAGCTCACCACCTCCTGACCCAGGCCCTCCCCCTGGTCTCCAAAGTACCTAGAGCCCCCAGCCAAGCAGGAGTTGACCTCAGTGGAAGTCACCAATAGGTCAAGTACCCACCAGAAACAGCTCCAGAGGTGAACAGTATTTTCTTCCAGCAAGACATTCCCATGCCAGAATCTCGTTTTCCTGTCCCTCCCCAGCAGCGCAACCTGTGCCAGCACCTGAACTTGCTGGTTCACAAATGACAGCCACGGAACAAACGTTCTGTCATTTCTTCTGAGTTCCCTATAGTTGTTATTTAAAAGTTTCTAACAAACAAATTAGCTTTATAGGTTTATCACAAGTTTTGTAGGATTCTTTTGCTGAAAAATTATACTTCTTTTTGAACATAACTGAGTGTGTTGACAGAAATTGTAGTAAGATTCCTCTCAACATCACCGATTTAATTTTTCTTGTTTTAAATCATCATTTGATATCTATTTTTTCATGCTACACTTCCATAGGCACAAGGCTTTCCCTTTTTACTCCCTTCTCCACTCCCTCACACCATACTATTTTCCCCCATATTATTATATATTATCTTTCAGCAACAGTCACAAGTCCATCATTCTGCTGTTAAAGCAGATCATGACACTGTAGGTAAAGATAATGGTAGAATATCCAGCATCCTATTGCTAAGATATATTTAACAGTTTCATTGGGAGTCTTCCTGTTCTCTGGGAGTAGAGATGCATACTGTAACATATCTCCACTTCCCAATATGCTAGTCTCCATTATATAGCTCTTCCATAGACATGTGCATATGCATGGTTTAACCATATATATCTTGTATTTTGCATGAAGTTGCCTTATATCAGAGATAATATAAGATATATGTCTTTTGGGGATTGGCTTATTTCGCTGAGCATAACAGTTTGTAGTTAGGATGATTTTGTTGCAAATGGTAGAATCTCAGCATTTTTAATGTGTGAGTAGTATTCCATGGAGTGTGTTAACAAATTTCTCATCCGGGCCCGGCGCAGTGGCGCAAGTGGTTAAAGGTCCTTACCTTGCACGCCCAGGATCCCATATGGGCGCCGGTTCTAATCCCGGCAGCCCCGCTTCCCTTCCAGCTCCCTGCCTGTGGCCCGGGAAAGCAGTCGAGGACGGCCCAAAGCTTTGGGAACCTGCACCCGCGTGGGAGACCCGGAAGAGGCTCCTGGCTTCGGATCGGCATAGTATCGGCCCGTTGCGCTCACTTGGGGAGTGAATCATCGGACGGAAGATCTTCCTCTCTGTCTCTCCTCTCTGTA